GGCTCCCAACTGGTCGTCCTCGACCCTGATTTTTTATGTATAACGGTTATGTACGTCTGACCCAATCACAGCTAGATACTCGATCACATTCTATTTTAATCGTCGAGACGCAATTGAACTCCGCTCGTTCAAACCCTGCATAAAGGCCTGTACTGCCCAGTCATCCGAGACCGGTGGTAATTCCATCCGCTTCATTTGAAACCGAGAAATGAACTCCCTTAACATCCCATCGTTCCTCTGTCTTATCTTAAAAACGTCTTATCTCCTCGTTGCCACCTTTATGGCTCTGGCATGTGCTTTCACAAAGGTGTCTACTAACATAGCAAACGAATCGATACAGTTCGGGGGTAAGTTGGGATACCAAATCATGGCTCCCTTGGACAAAATTTCCCCAAATGCTTTCAATAATATTGATTCGATCTCATCATCATTCAAGTCGTTTCCTTTAATCCCACAAGTATACTAGGTAATATGCCCGTTAGGATCGATTGTTCCATTGTATTTAGGTATATCGAGCATGCGAAACTTTTAGGAATGGGCTTCAGAGCCGCGCTCGGAGGAAACGGTTTTTGAATGAACTTTTTGGCATCCAAATCCTTCAAGACCGGGGGTGCCCCCGGTATTTGATCAACACGGGAGTTATAAGTCTCCACTTTCTTGTCATTATCCTCAATCTTCTTTTCCCTAGACTCGATTCTTTTGGTGAGTTCCTCGAACATCCTCATAAGTCAGTCCCCGAGCCGTTACCGCTTGATCTTTCCGGTATCGACTCAGTACGTCGGGAGTTGTCTGGTTCGACTATACTTGGAGTTTTGTGTTGACTTTGAAGTAGAGCGATGGCAATCTGTTGAGCTTGTAGCATCTCGAATATTACCTAGAGGCTGACTCCCCCGTCACCTATACCTTGTGTTTCTTGGCCCCCAGATCGGGCTTCCCCGCGTACACTTCCTCTGGGGTCTGCGCCTAGATCTGCATTCAAAGCAATGTGTGAACTAACATCAACTAGTTCCACATTTGGCACTTCCCCAAGGTTTATCGGTAGTACACTGACCCCTACATTATTGTTTTCCCCATGAAACCCAAGACCATCGTTGTTGTGTACAGGTGCGTTTTGCGAGTTTGACATGTTTTAACCTGAGAACAAAAAATTCTTGACAAGAACAAGTGTGAAAATAACGTGTGTTATGAGAATCAGTTCTGAAATAATCACTATTATCTTTAGCCCCACGGTGGCCACCAAACTATTTACCTTGAAAATACGAGTAACAATTAAATTTGATTTATGGTTTTAAAGATACGTGATTTAGTTCAATACTAATTAATAACCAAGAAATCTGAAGTATAAATGAAAGTAATAAGTAAAACCAAACCAGAATGTAGGCCAGTCTCGACCTCGAGCCAAAGTGACCTCGAGATGGATCGAGAACAGTAAAATAAGAATAATAAAGCTAAAAGACATTTCTGATGAACAATGAACGAGAAAGTAAGAGAGTATATTCTTTGCCAATGATTGATGATGTTTTCAAATGATTGGGGTGGTCCACTTTATATAGCAGGAGCACCCTAAATAAGTTTCATTTCTATTTATAGTAAAGAATCTTATTGGGACCCATGTCTAACCGTCTAGTACGGATTCGTACAAATCTATTGCAGGATTTAATAGGAACAACTATAGAGGAGTTCCATTTCAGCTAATGTGCACGTGTTTATTAGCTCTAAGTCACCCTACCCGCAACCTAATGCAGAGAGTTATACACAACACCAATTTTTCCATTCAGCTAATCTCCATGTATAAAAGGAAAAATGTCTTAAGATCTTCTCCATATCAAATTAAGAGCGAGAGTGACAAAATGATGGCAGAATTGTTCATTAAGCAGGCAAAACTGTATTCTAAGGGTCGGCCAAGTTACCCGGAAGAATTGTTCAATTTCATTTCTTCAAAGACACCTTGTCATAACCTTGCTTGGGATGTTGGCACTGGTAATGGCCAGGCTGCTGAATCTGTAAGCGACTCTTCTTATTCCCAACCGTAAACAATTTAGAATAAGAAGGAAATACTTTTAGTTAGGAGTAGTAATTAATGTCAAATAATTCCCTTTTTTTAATATATTCTCTTACATTATATTAAGACTGTAATCACACACGATGAGCGTTTGCATCAACAATTCTCTTAAACTGTCATATCTAAACATAAATGTTCTGTTGATAAATTGTAAGCGTTGTAATAGACACAAGAAAGAGTTAAAAACAAGCATTTCCTAGTGTCGTAGCATCTTTTTTTTTTTTTTTTTTTTTTTTTTTTTTTTTTGCTCCAAATATTTGGTATTGTTCTAATTAATTGCTCCAAAATTATTGTGTAATTTTCTCAATTGGCTAAGCTATAGAAGAGAGTAGTTGCCACAGACACAAGTCCTAAGCAGTTGCAATATGCAACCAGGTTACCTAATGTTCGATACGTTTGTACCTCTCCCAAGATGTCAATGGCTGAAGTCGAAAGCAAAATAGGAGCAAAGTCAAGTGTAGATTTGATAACAATTGCTGCAGCACTGCATTGGTTTGATCTCCCAACTTTCTACCAACAAGTGAAATGGGTGCTCAAGAAACCAAATGGAGTAATCGCTGCCTGGTCCTACACTACGCCACGAGTAAACAGCTCAGTGGATACAGTTTTTGATCAATTTTACTATAATGATGCTGGACCTTACTGGGAATCTCCAAGAAATTTGGTGGATGAAAAATACAAAACGATTGATTTCCCATTTGAGCCTGTGGATGATTGTGGTCACAATGGACCGTTCCAGTTCAAGATTGAGAGAGCCATGTATTTGGATTCTTATTTCACATACTTGAAGTCATTGTCAGCTTATCAAACTGCAAAAGAGAAGGGTGTTGAGCTCTTGACTAATGACGTTGTTGACAAATTCAATAGTGCTTGGGATGAAAGCCAGAAACTGTAGTTTTCCCAATTTACTTGAGGATTGGCAAAGTTGGGAATTTGAATTGAAAGTGCAATTTCTTGTAGTATCTCAATGTAGTAATAGGGAGTATAGCATCTGCATCGTCCTTATCTATTTTTTTTGTTTCTTCTACTTTGTTCTGAAGCTCTACTTAGCTTTGTTGTTGTACTTTATGTGAAAATCAGAAAGTTATTTCTTCATTTTCGCTTCGAGTTTCTCTTTCAAGAGTAAAATGTAGGTTACTAGATTGAGCTCCTGTCCCAAATAATTCTTTTCATGGAGCTCATAACACATGTAGCAATTAAGCATTTAATAACCCATTTTCCAACAGTGTCATCAAGATTATCATGGACATGTTCCGCGGGCATGTGATCTGTTACGGGCTGCCTTTATTGACTCTTGGCGCCTGTAATGCTGTGTGCCGCAGGCTGTGCGAGTGTCAGCCATGCAGGCGGCACGTGCTGACGATGTGTTTCAAGAAGGAGCATCAGGCAAAGGGACTTTGGGGGTGGCAACAACCATCTAGATATGTTGTATTGCATGTCCTAATAGCACCAAAGAAGTATAACAAGGACCTGGGAGGAGCCCAAGTGTCTAGCCTATGGGCGACGACCAGGTGCGTGCCATGAGTGTCAGCACCGCACATTGTCGAGTTATGAGTGAAATCTAGGGATTTTGGCTGCAAGCCTAGTTCCTAGTATGTCCTTATATATGCTTTCCATGTTCGGCGTCATTTGGAGTTTGTTTACCTATGGGCTTGACTAAGCCAAGTTTAGTGGCCTTGTCGTAATTAGCTTAATCTTGCGAAGGCTATATCTCTTTCCTCGGATATGGGAATGGGATGAAACTTTATAGAAGTGTGTTGTGAAGGAAGTCAAGACAAATTATTGATAACAAACGGCATCTCATTCGGAGGTTGGAGTAAGAAAAAGGTCCATTATGATTCCCTGGCCAAAACATGTTAAATGGGGAAACATGTGCTTTTTCTTTTTAAGCATATATAAGGCGGACAATGTTGAATGCTCAGCTAACCCCCCCCCAATTTCTTTGTGCGTCGGTAAAAAAAAACATGCTTTTTGGGGTA